GATTAATCGAAAAAATAATCGGCGGATTCATCGATTTTTAAAATCATCGTTAGTTGCAGCCCTAATAAGCATACAATTAATTGCCAACAAAAATACAATAAACAAAGAAATGTAAGTAGAAATTAAATTATACAGACATAAATGTTTATAAGTCTTTTAATTAGCTTCTTTATTTATTTCCCTTTGTAATATTTACCTTATTTATTTTTTTGTCCTTTATATTTTTTTTACATTCCTGCCTGCATTTCTGTTTCATTATGCAAATGAGGAGGGGGTGTGTCCTAGAGAGTCAACTTAAGCACATTGGTTGCCCTGTAAATGTAGGGCAGGCAGAAATGTTAAAAAAAAAATATAAAGGACAAAAAATAAATAAGGTAAATATTAAAAAGGCACATAAAGAAGCTAATTAAGAGTTATATACATTTATGTCTCACTGTATAGTTTAATTTCTACTTGCATTTATTTGTTTATTGTATTTTTGTTGGCAATTAATGGTATGCTTATATATTTGAGCATTTATTTATTTATGTATTTATTTTTAAATATGGCAGAGTTGGTCTTCCATACCAGATGTCTGTCAATAAACACAGAAATTAAAAATGCAACTTAATCTACACTCCACTCTTTAACTAGATAAAGCTTTATTAAAGTTGTTTTTACAATTGTGATCATTTGGCCTTATATTTGCTTTTAAACTAAATACTGACAAAAGGTAACTTGTGCTAGTTGTCATAAAAAAGGTATGAGTCATCAATGAGATGCTTTAAATCAGAGGTCTTCAACAGGGGGTCCGCGACCCCTAGGGGGTCCACGGAGGTACTGCAATTTTTTTGCATTAATTAAAATGTCTTTAAATCCAAATTAACATAAATTCAACAGACTGTAGAAAACAGATAAAAGGAAGCAGAAGATGTCTTTCAGTCATCAACAAACACATTCAGCGACACACAGGAGCTCTTTCAAACCAGGGCACCATTTCATTCACAACACCTGTCCCATCAACCAGGAATCAGAATCAGAAATACTTTAATAAATACAGAAATAACTTCTGTTACATTACTCCATCTGTTAATAAATACAGAAATAACTTCTGTTACATTACTCCATCTGTAATAGAGTGACTGTAGGACCAGTTTGATAGAACACAATTTCATACATTAAATATAATTAGGGGGTCCCCGCTCCATCTCGCAATCAGTTTGGGGGGTCCTTGGCTATGAAAACGTTGAATACCCCTGCTTTAAATTATATATTTTTTTCTAATTTAATTAGTTGCATTTTAAGTCGTTCCTTAACACCTACTGGAGGCCATTAAATACTAGGGGTGAGTATTGGTATGGGTGCTTGGATCACGATAGAATATTATCACGATATTCCAATGTCACGATTTATTGTGATAGTTTTTCCATCTATCAAAATTAAATGTATAGATAAAGCGGCAAGTGCTGTATATGTTCATGAAAAGATATTGATCATTTGGTTATTTTGGTATCCATGTTGTTTGGGGTCTGAGTCAGTCCACGTCTTCCACTGTGACTGCCTCGACTACAGTTATGGTGCTGCGCTGCACAGCATCATCTGCAAGAGCAGTGGTGCAGAGGTAGCCCATTTTCCCTTATCGTTTTAGGTAAAAATGTTTTGTTTTTTGGGAGTGCAGCTGGCACAGCGGTAAGCGGCACGACCGGTGTATGGAGGCCTTAGCCCTCGGTGCGGCCGACCTGGGTTCGAATCTGATTTGTGGTCCTTTGCTGCATGTCTCTCCCCTTCTCGTACCCCCTTTCCTGTCAGCCTACTGTCAAAATAACAAGCCACTGGTGCTGTAAAAACAAAAAAAAAATAAGTTTTGTGTTTTTGTTTTTTATCAATACTAGGAACTGAATAATCAATATTTATATCGGGCAGCCAAAAATCACGATATATCGCCAAAATAGATTTTGTTTGTTTTTTTTCCACTAAAAACTAAATAAACTAGTTTTTGAAGGATGTAAATGCGCTTTAGTTACTTGCAGAGCTAGCTGGCCCTTCACCAGGGCAAGACTCTATTCAGGTGGTGCTACACGTCTCATGAAGCAAAAATTACAAAAATCTAGACTCTTGGTTTGATAGGCTTTTAAATTCATAATTAGTATTTTGGACCAAAGACCAAAGCACCACCTAGTTTCTATCTGTGCACATCCCTGTAAATAAACAATGTGATTGTCATATCAGTGTGAAATATATATTCTGTATAATCCTGTACAAGGAGAAAAATCCTTTATTTTTGCACAATTTCACTAACAATTGGNAATGTGATTGTCATATCAGTGTGAAATATATATTCTGTATAATCCTGTACAAGGAGAAAAATCCTTTATTTTTGCACAATTTCACTAACAATTGGGATTAAATATCCAGCATTATTCAGTAAATAGGAATGTTATTAATTTCATTAAATCCGGTTCATTAATGAAACCACAGTCCTCCAGGGCCGGATCATTTGGATGCTGTGGGCATTCCTGCATCATTATGAATCAAACTATTATTAAAATAATTTTATATAAGACAAATTTAGAAAAAGAATAAAAGGAATGTGAGCTTAAGATTCTGTCCTTTTGTCAATGTTATTGATAAAATTGACATTTATATATATATATATATATTTTTTCAGGTATATTTCCTTGTTCAATTATTGGTGTTTTCCATTTAAAATAAGATGGGGGGAGGTTTATCTGTATTATAACTGATGATGTCATTCTGTATTTACTCCATCGGATGAGCGATGGGTTCACTTCATGTAAGCTGTCTTTACTTCTAGACGTCAGAATCTGATCGCTCAGTCGCAGTCTGGCACCGGTAAAACTGCAGCGTTCTCTCTGGCCATGCTGAGTCACGTCAACCCTGAAAATAACTGGACTCATGTGAGCAAAAGGTCTTATACCCCATTTACACTACCCTTGAAAACCGTGCCGAGACCGGTCCAATCTCAGTAACTGAGATAACTTATTGTGTGTAAATGGAAAGCAAACTGAACTGAACTGAGCTAGGCACAACCGAACTGAGCTAACTGCAGACCAGTTCCAGAGGTGGGCTCGGCTTGGTTTTTCCCTGGCTCGGTTCTCTGATAACAAGAGCGCATGAGCAGAACGCGTCATCTCCGACTGGCTGCACATCCCGATTCACACTCCATTCCAGTAGTTGGCGGTAATTGCCAACCAACACAAAACAGAAGAAAAAGAACAACTATAAACAACAATCGAAATCTTTTCCACGCAACATTTTAAATATTGGCAATTTAAATAATA